GCTGTTTAACTTCAGAGGTCCCACAGATTTGTAACAGAGAAGAGTCAGACAGCTTTGTATTTTCACAGATATGTCCTTTATTTACATAGTTCTCCTCTGTGGGGTCCCAGCCCCTTCCTGGCAGCACTGATGCCTTATTCCTGCCCCGAGTAGCCCTGTCAGGGTGCGGGGACAGAGGTTGGGGGTCACCTGCCACCATCTCACCCTCCCTCTTCCCTCCTCTCTCTCTCCCTTCCTCACCATGGTGGGAAGAAACTGAAGCAGTGGAGGGAGAAACTGAGGCAGTGGAGGGAGAAACTGAGGCAGTGGAGGGGAAATGCACAGGAAAGGGGAATCAGGAAAGGGTTGTCCCCTCAGAGAGCATAGCCTCCATCCACTCTCCAGTGTTTACTCTGAAGCACCAGGATCCCCATCAGCCTCCCTCAGCCATCACGTTTGTCCCATGCTGAGGAAAAACATATTCACAGAAAGGGAAATCAAGCCCTGGACAGGCTGCCCAGGGGTGTGGTGGAGTCATCATCCCTGGAAGCATCCCGGACACGTGTGGATGCAATGCTTAGAGACATGACTTAGTGGTGGATTTAGCAGTGCTGGGTTAAGGGTTGGAATCTGATCTTAGAAGTGTTTGCCAGTCTTAGTGATTCTATGGCTGTCAGTGAGGCAAACACACCTGCAAAATCAACCCTGCACCTTCCAGCCCAAGCTCACCTGATTAAAACCATTATTGATAGAGCAGGCTGTGAGGGAGAATAAAAATTAAAGGATAACATGGATTGGGGCTGCTCCCCCCCAATCTCTGCCACATCGTTTCTCCAGAAGCCATCTAATCTCTTCATTTTAATACCACCTTCTCTTGTGTCTAACCACCTACATGTGTAACATGCAGCTGTTGGCAAAAGCCTTTCAAATACGTTACGAAGATAAAAGAAGTGTGTGTGTAAGGCAGAAAAGATTCAGGGCTTCTCCAAACAGAGGAGTTTATTCAGTGTTTATTCAGGCTTTGTGCACACCAGGACAATAGAACTATTCTGAGGAGACTTTGCACAATGGGTGGCAGAGAGGAAAAGCTGCTTCTGGCAAAGTAGCATCAACAGGCAGCACAGCCTCACCCTTGTGGCATTTGGAGGATCCAGTTTCATTTATTTATCCAGCAGAAAGACTTTGTTAACAATCTCAAACCTGACCAACAGTCTAAGGCATGTTTCTTGTCATCAGGCAACCCAAAAAGTATTTATTCTGCTGTGTGTCTTCACATCAGGCAAATAAAAGGCATCATCTCTTCCCTTTCAGATGAATCACATTTAAACTGGATAGAATAATTAATGAGATACTCCACAGATTAATTTTACAGCAACCATAGTTTTAATCAATATGAGCATTTTTTCACAGACAAATTCCTTCACAGTAGCTGAATGTGCTTTGGACAGTGTTTTTATAAATATTCATGCAAGAGCTTTATTTTTTGGTTAGAGTGGGATCTCACCTGTGTACCTCTCTCATCACACCTCTCTTCACATGTGCCATTCCAGGAGTAGGCATGTCATGAATTTATTGTCATACAAAAATTAAAAGGGCTCCTATAAATCACTGCAGGTTCATAGGGTTAGGAAGCACAAAGCTGGCGGCTTTGAGAAAGCCAAGAGGAATATGCTAACTGCAGAAGCAAGAAAAATTGGGAAGACAGAAGAGTGTTGGGAGCCAGAAAAAATGAAGCAAAGAAACGCAGAGATATTGGGCTGCTCTGAAAACCCTAAGGGGATGGTGGATGGAGAAAACCTCAGCTAGAAGTGGCAGCAAAGACAAGGTGCAAGGGGCACAGAGAGCTCTCAGAACAAGTGTAGAGGTGAAGGGCCAGAACATGGTGAAAATCCTCCCCCAGGAACACCAGACTAAGCCAAGAGCACATGTGGCATTAACTTCTCCAAAGACTGCAGCTGAGGGAAGGAGCAAAGATCTGAGAAGGGGACACGCTGTCCCTTCCCCAGCTTTGTGGAGGGAGTGAGGGAATCCCTGTCAAAGCAAAGTTTGGATTGTTCTACAAGATGACAGAGCAAAGACGGAGATGTCAAAAAAATCCATCCCTCAGCTGCTGTTGGTGACTGGAGGGCACATGCTTCCAGTAAGAGATTATTGTGCCATAAACACCAGCACACCAATACAACAGTCACCCCAGGGCACACACCAGCATCTTGTTGCTGTAAAATATCCCTTTCCTCTCCCAAAGCAAGGGATGGGACTGGGATGTTTGAGAGCTTTCCCACCTGGGATGAATTAAAGTCAAGGTCTGAAATGTGAAGTAAACTCTTCCTGAACACAATTTGAGTAATGGGAATAAACACCAATCCCATCAGCAAGTTTAATAAGCTCAATGCAAGGAGTAATTTGCAGTAAACACTTTAGCCTGAGAATATATAAGAACAGCGTGATCTCCACTCAAAAAAAAAAAATAACAACACAAAATGGTTATTCTGAACAGAAAAATTCAGTGCATACAACAGGGAAACTCCTGCTCCCACCACTGGCTTCAGTCAGAACATAACACTGCACACTGTGTGGAGCACAGTCTGATGGAGAAAGTGCCAGACTGAAAATTAGCTGGAGGCCAACCCAACAACACATAGTTCCTCCTAAATCAATAGGGATTACCCTCAGGAAAAGGCGCAATTCCCTGTATATGTCTTTCCACAATATTCAGTGGATGATCTGACCTCAGGAACTCACCACTGCTTTGGGTTCCTGCTGTTTAGTCCTGATTGGAGGAATCCTTTAACACCCCCCATCCAACACCACAAACACCAAATTTCTCACACAAAACAGATCCTTCATAAGGCAAATAGTGATTCCTCATCTACTTAGCAGCAGTTTTTGGCCACCACTCGGGTGTGTTTGCACTGAGCTTCACTTTATCCCCTCCGAGATTCAGGCAGAGGGACTCATGTATATGAGCCAGCCTCAGCAGAGCTATCCCGAGTTGACCTCCTCCAGCCCGGAATTTTCCAGCTGGCTTTCCTGATTCGGTTAAGATCTCAGCCCCCTCAGGAATGCTGTCAGTGGGAAGAGGAGCTGGGAAGGTGACAGGCAGCAGACGTTTGCGGATGACACCCATGTGGTGGGTCCTGGCTGTCAGCTCCTGTCCAATGTAACAGCCTTTAGTAAAGCTGATGCCATTCATGTAGGCCAGGTTTGATTCCAGGGGGAGGGCAACTCCAGGAGGGAGATCCTTCACACCTTCTGGAATTCCTAGAAAAAGAGTAAAAGCAGGAGGTAAACACTCCTCATAATACTTGTGATCTAAGTGCTCTAAACTGTTTGGCTCATGAACAACTTGATTGACCATCACCTTTCACTCTGCCAATTAATTTAATCCTCTCTCAGCATGGACACAATAAAATCAAAGGCACAGGAGCTCCCAGGACAGAGATCCCTCTCAAATCAAACATCCTCCCCCTTGGCCTCTGAGTTAACTCAGCAAATCAAACCACAGACGTTTAGGAAAGTAAGTCTGGGTGTTTCCTTTTCCTTCCTTAGCAACAAGCAAAACACACAGGCTGTGTGTAATCCCAGAATAATCAAAATTACTCAAAGCACAGAAACCTCTCTCTAAGAAAATGAATAATCCTCGTTTTCTTTTAGTGTTCCTGACCCACTCCCTCATAAACTGAGTAATAGGAAACCATTCCCAAATATTGCTTCTGCCACCAGACAGAATTATAACCACCAGGTCACTTTTTTTACTCAAAGTAGCAACTAATACCTGTATTTATTAACAAATTAAACACATTAAGATACCAATGCAGCTGTTGTAACTTATTCCTGTCTTATATCACTATAGGACCCACAAAATCCAGCGACACAAAAAAGGACTTGGCTTTACCTTGTTTATACCTGTGCCTGTGGTAATCCTGAACATTCCCAACTTGACTCCCAGGAATAATCTCTGACAGATTTGCTCCTTTCTTTGCAATCAGTCTCCAGCCCATGACTTCTGTTCTGGGGTCAGGAGTAAAAAGCAGAGCCTGGTCTGGACATTTTGGGAGGGAGCTGGCAGTGTCTCCAGCCTGTTCCCCAGGGATGACAGCCCACAAAGAGAGGTCAAGGCAAGGGGTGATGTCGACTTTCCTCCGGATCTTGTAGAGCTTCAGATGTTTCTGGATGGAATCCAGCATGCTGCTGTCACACTCCAGTAGGATGTGTGGCTCTTCTTCTGTGCTCTCATGAAGCCTAAAAAAAGTAACACCTACAAGGTCAGAAAAACAAACCCCTACAGGATCAGGAGCCAAAAAGCTTTATGTGGATCCTGGTGTGAATCCAGAAATCTGGGAAGTTTCAGGGAAGGCTGCTGGCACACACAGAGCAGCATCAAACAGGTTGGAAAAGAACTCTGAGATCATCAAGTCCAATCTATGACCTAACACCACCATGTCAACTAGACCATGGCACTAAGTGCCACATCCAGTCTTGCCTTAAACACCTCCACAGGTGGTGACTCCACCACTTTTCATCCCACTGTGAAATACCTGAACTTTTTCAACAAGCTGTTGTACTTCTTTCTAGCAAACATTGCCCTCAAGTCTGCCCATGCAGAATTCTCCAGTACTTACCTAAAGTGAGGGCCAGGAGTTGGAATCAGTGACCCTTGTGGGTCCCTTCCAACCTAGGATATTCTGTGACCTTCAACAGGGGGAAAAGCTTCATTCAGCTGTGCCTTCTGTTATCATAGAACCACAGAATGGGTTGGGTTGGAAGGGACCTTAAAGCTTAGCTAGTTCCAAACCCCCTGTCATGGGCAGGGACACCTTCCACTAGCCCAGGTTGCTCCAAGCCCCATCCAGCCTGGCCTGGAACACTTCCAGGTATGTGCAGCCACAGCTGCTCTGGGCAACCTGTGCCAGTGCCTCAGCACCCTCACAGGGAAGAATTTCTACCCAATACCTAATCTAAATCTACTGTTTCAGTTAAAGCCCTTTCCCTTTGTCCTGTCATTCCATACCATGTCCCAAGTCCCTCTCTAGCTCTCTTGGAGCTCCTTTACGCACTGGAAGGGGCTCTAAGGTCTCCCTGGTGCTTCTTTTCTCCAGGATGAACAGCCCCAATTCTCTTAGCCTGGCTTCATAGCAGAGATGCTCCACCTTGGAGCATCTTTATGATGACCTGCTCCAGCAGCTCCTGTGCTGGTGGCCCCAAACCTGGACACACTTCTCCACACCCCAGATAGGAAGTCGATATCCCAAGTGGAGCTATTACAACCACTAAACTTTCCTCCTGGGGCAACGCACGAAAGCAGCACTTAGTGACAAAAAACAACAGAGAAAGCGCTTTTTTGCACACTGACTTATAACGAAGCGGCAGAGACTCGGCGGAGCCCAGTGCGGGTGACAGGCAGCGCAGGGAGCACCCGGGGCCGGCAGC